CAGCTGTCAAAAATGTCAAATTATTTATTTCTTTAGGCCAAAATGATAATGGTGACAACTTTTTAGCTCAATAACTTCATTTTATTAAGAAATATATGTAAATCCTGAAGTGAAACCTTTAAAACTGGCATTAATGAAAAGTGACAGCTGTCAAAAATGTCAAATTATTTATTTCTTTAGGCCAAAATGATAATGGTGACAACTTTTTAGCTCAATAACTTTATTTTATTAAAAAATATATGTAAATCCTGAAGTGAAACCTTTAAAATTGGCATTAATGAAAAGTGACAGCTGTCAAAAATGTCTAATTAGTTATTTCTTTAGGCCTAAACATTAATGACGACAACGTTTTAGCTCAATAACTTCATTTTATTACGAAATATATGTAAATCCCAAAGTGAACTCTTTAAAATTGGCATTAATGAAAAGTGACAGCTGTCAAAAATGTCAAATTATTTATTTCTTTAGGCCAAAATGATAATAGTGATAACTTTTTAGCTCAATAACTTCATTTTATTAAGAAATATATGTAAATCCCAAAGTGAAACCTTTAAAATTACCATTAATGAAAAGCGACAGCTGTCAAAAATGTCAAATTATTTATTTCTTTAGGCCAAAATGATAATGGTGACAACTTTTTAGCTTAATAACTTCATGTTAGTAAAAAATAAATGTAAATCCCAAAGTGAAACCTTTAAAATTACCATTAATGAAAAGTGACAGCTGTCAAAATATTTAATTACTGCTTTCTTTAGGCCAAAATGTTAATAACGGATATTTTTTTAGCTCGATAACTTGATTTTATCAAACAATAAACATAAATCACAACGTGAAACCTCTAAATTGGCATTAATGAAAAGTGACAGCTGTCAAAAATGTCAAATTACTGATCTCTTCGGGCCAAAACGTTAACGACGGCAATATTTTAGCTCGATAGCTTCATTTTGTTAAAAAATAAATGTAAATCCCAAAATGAAACCTTTAAAATTGGCATTAATGAAAAGTGACAGCTATCAAAAATGTCAAATTACTTATCTCTTCCGGCCAAAACGTTAAGGACGACAACTTTTTAGCTCAATAACTTCATGTTAGTAAAAAATAAATGTAAATACCAAAGCGAACTCTTTAAAATTAGCATTAATCAAAACTGACAGGTGTCAAAAATGTCTAATTAGCTATTTCTTTAGGCCAAAACGTTAATGACATCAACGTTTTAGCTCGATAACATCATTTTATCAAAAACTATATTGAAATCCTAAAGTGAAATCTTTAAAATTAGCATTAATGAAAAGTGACAGCTGTCAAAAATGTCAAATTACTTAATAAATTTTTTCCAAAATGTAATTCTCATTCAAAATCCGCGAAGTAAGATACAACCTCGATTAAAAAACATAAAATGATAACATTTAAAATTATCTCCTATCAAAAATGACAGATGTCAAAGTATTAAATTTCGAAATATTAATTTATAACGTTCTCTACGGCGTTTTAAAGAATTTTTTAATTATAATAAAATCAATTTTGTTGCAAAAGCTTTAGTTAATTATAATTTACCTAGTGATAGCTGTCAAAAATATCAAATTACTTATCTCTTCCGGCCGAACCGTTAACGACGGCATCTTTTTAGTTCAATAACTTCATTTTATTTTAATAAAATTTTTAAAATAAATAAAAATCCCAAAGTGAAACATTTAAAATTGGCATTAATCAAAGGTGACAGCTGTCAAAAATGTCAAATTACTTAATAAATTTTTACCAAAATGTAATTCTTATTAAAAATCCGCGAAGTAAGAGACAACCTCGATTAAAAAACATAAAATGATAACATTTAAAATTATCTCCTGTCAAAAATGACAGATGTCAAAGTATTAAATTTCGAAATATTAACTTATAACAGTCTCCACGGCGCTTTAAACAATTTTTTAATTATAATAAAATCAATTTTGTTACAAAAACTTTAATTAATTATGATTTATCAAGTGACAGCTGTCAAAAATGCCAAATTATTTATCTCTTCCGGCCGAAACGTTAATGACGGCACCTTTTTGACTCAATAACTTAATTTTATTTTAATAAAATTTTTAAAATAAATACAAATCCCAAAGTGAAACATTTAAAATTGGCATTAATCAAAAGTGACAGCTGTCAAAAATGTCAAATTACTTATTTTTTCAGGCCAAAACGTTAATGACGGCCATTTTTTAGCTCGCTAACTTGATTTTATTAAAAAATAAACATAAATTACAAAGTTAAACCTCTAAATTGGCATTAATGAAAAGTGACAGATGTCAAAAATGTCAAATTACTGATTTCTTCGGGCCAAAACGTTAACGACGGCAATATTTTAGCTCCATAGCTTCATTTTGTTAAAAAATAAATGTAAATCCCAAACTGATACCTTTAAAATTGGCATTAATTAAAAGTGGCAGCTGTCAAAAATGTCAAATTACTTATCTCTTCCGGCCGAACCGTTAACGACGGCATCTTTTTAGCTCAATAACTTCATTTTATTTTAATAAAATTTTTAAAATAAATATAAATCCCAAAGTGAAACATGTAAAATTGGCATTAATCAAAAGTGACAGCTGTCAAAAATGTCAAATTAATAAATTTTTACCAAAATGTAATTCTCATTCAAAATCCGCGAAGTAAGAGACAACCTCGATTAAAAAACATAAAATGATAACATTTAAAATTATCTCCTGTCAAAAATGACAGATGTCAAAAATGTCAAATTACGGATCTCTTCGGGCGAAAACGTTAACGACGGCAATATTTTAGCTCGATAGCTTCATTTTATTAAAAAATAAATTTAAATTCTAATGTGAACCCTTTAAAATTGACATTAATGAAAAGTGACAGCTGTCAAAAATGTCAAATTACTTATCTCTTCCGGCCGAAACGTTAATGACGGCAACTTTTTAGCTCAATAACCTAATTTTATTTTAATAAAATTTTTAAAATAAATACAAATCCCAAAATGAAACATTTAAAATTGGCATTAATCAAAAGTGACAGCTGTCAAAAATGTTAAATTATTTAATAAATTTCTACCAAAATGTAATTCTCATTCAAAATCCGCGAATTAAGAGACAACCTCGATTAAAAAACATAAAATGATAACATTTAAAATTGTCTCTTGTCAAAAATGACAGATGTCAAAGTATTAAATTTCGAAATATTAACTTATAATTTTCTCCACGACGTTTTAAACAATTTTTTAATTATAATAAAAATAATTTTGTTGCAAAAACTGTAATTAATTATGATTTATCCAGTGACAGCTGTCAAAAATGCCAAATTACTTATCTCTTCACGCCGAAACGTTAAAGACGGCAACCTTTTAGCTCAAAAACTTAATTTTATTTTAATAAAATTTTTAAAATAAATACAAATCCCAAAATGAAACATTTAAAATTGGCATTAATCAAAAGTGACAGCTGTCAAAAATGTCAAATTACTTAATAAATTTCTATCAAAATGTAATTCTCATTAAAAGCAACGAAGTAAGAGATAATCTCGACTGAAAAACATGATATGATAAGATTTAAAATGGTCTCCTGTCAACAATGACAGCTGTCAAATAATCGAGTTAATATAAATTTGAAGTTAAAACACAAATTTATTGAATTTACTAATGATATTATTTAAGAAGGTCAAAGATGTATAATATAAATGGAGAGAAAATTAAGTTTGGAAGACTTGCTTTAAAAGCTCTAGAGATGGCGCTAAGAAAATTTATGACCCCCGGATGTATTTTAAAGATTTCTTCCTCATCTGTTTTTAACGAACTTCATATAAATCTTAAAAAGGAGATCTCGTACAAATTAGGTCACTTGACATAAAGGGAATTGATTAAACAAAGAAAAATAACTTAGTGACAAATAATGGAAAAACGGATTATGGAGTGTAATGACGTCTTAAAAGCCGTGTGAGATAAAGAAATAATAAAAACTTAGCGTTTTAGTTCGCCTCTAATCTCAATCCAAGCTTTATTAATCAAAATACATTACAAAAATAGCCTAAAATACCAAAAAAAGCTTCTACATTATCCCACTTCATCTCAATCAAACAAAATTGAGACAAAGACGAGATAAATCAGGCAAAGCTGAGTGCGAAAAACTCTCGATACCTATTCGCCTTATATCATCATAAACCAATAAAAATTTTTTTTTAATTCAAATCTTCCACTCCACACCACTCAGTTTATCTCACTTAAATATTTTAAATCCGGCACTAATTATTTCAATTTCAATTTCGATTTCAATTTCGATTTCGAGAAGAAAAAATGTTTCGTTTAATGAGATTATTTTTTTTGTTTTAGGCGAGGGTTGAAATGATGAAAATTTGGACGGTGCACCACGTGACACTCGGTGTCGCAGTGTTTCTGGAAATAACGAAATGTGCAAGACCGGCCGGTAGAGGTCGCAAAAGTTGGCGTGTACCCGCTTCGATCAATCCTTACAAATCAGGGCATCCAAAAATGTTTTTATAAAATTTTAATTGAAGTGTTTTTATGGACAGCTTGTATATAAAAAAATTTGGGTGTGATGGTATCAATTTGATTTTTGTAATAATAATAATAATAATAATAATAATATGGGTTATAAGAAAATAATTAATTAATTGTAATTAATTAATTAATAAAAAAAAATTTATTATATACAGGGTGTTTTTTTTTTTTGGGAATTTCCACTCAGCCTTAATTACACGCATTTTTACCTTGAATACCTCGAGGAGCAACTCCTGATATACGCAAAATGAGGCATTATGAGTAAAACAACCACCTCACCCTCCTCAACTCTTTCTGTGTCACACCGTGTTGAGAACTAGTAATTAAAATAATCCATAATGTATGCCCAATGTTAGCGCGTGGCCTACTTTTGTTTGCGGTTTTAAAAAACACTTTTGCTGTATATACGCATACATAAATGTTGTTTTAATCACAAAAAAGTGAATAAGGTAGCAAAAAAAAATTACAAAATAATTTAAGTACTGACCTGTGCAACTTTCTCCCCCATTTTCGGCGTGTGCAACCCGCTTTGGAAGTATTTGGCGGAACCGTTGTCCTGAAGAGAAAACTACAAAAAGTAAAGAAGCCATTCTTACTTCTAAAAGGTGCAATAAGGCGCAAATTAACATTAAGAAATTAAATTAAATTATTGAAGCAATATTAACAAGGAATAAATAAATAAATAAATATAAACAAAATAAAAATAAAATAAAAAGTGATTTGAAGTAAAAAAATTAATCGATTTCGGTTTAATTCGGCCTCTCGATACGAGATGGCGACACCAACGCCGAAATGAATGCCGCCATCTTTTAAAAATGAAAAAAATAATAAAAATTAAGCTCCAATAAAAAATAACTAGTGTATCATATAAGAAAAAAATGTAATAATATAATTATTAAAGAAATTACCTTTTGTTTAATTGAATCTGTAGGATTACTAAGGCTTGGACTTTTACGCGCTTCGTGCTGATGAATGCCGGTTTTGTGCTTGTTCAAATCGCTCTCGCTGGAAACGTTCGGAAATTGCTTGGAAGCGAGAGGCACTTTGTTTGCTGTAAAAAAAAAATAATAATAATAATAACGTGAAAAAGTACGCTGAAAGAAAGCGTCACAAAGAAAACTAACAAAGAACAATAATTGTTGTAGAGAGATTAAAATGAAAGGAGGGGATTAAAAATGTAAAAGGAGACGAGTATTTTAGGGGCCCTCGCGGCTATTTCTAGATAAATACGAAAACAATCAAAAGCGAGGGGGTAAATAATCCGCGTTTTTATTTCGCGCTTAATTCTATACTTACAAATGCTCGGGGGAAATCCCGATCGGAAATGTTGTCTTCGTGCTATTGCGTCTAAACTGGTCGCGTGCGCTACTTTATTCGAAACATGCCTGGAAATAAAAAGAAGTAGTATTAAAAAATTAAATTAAAAAAAAAAATCGAATTCTTAAGGTATCTCGGTGCAACCTTGGACTTTAATACCGGAAATTGAGTACCTTAAGTAACTCTTAATCCGTTTTTGAGATAACACACGACGATTATTAATAATATACAGGGTGTCTCAGCGAGACCGGTCATTAGACGTTTCTAGGATTCTTTCCATGACACACTAGGCGAATATCGATATGATTTGCTTAATCATGTTTTTTACAGAGTGTTCCATTTAAACAAATAAAGTAGGTGCCGACTTCCGGTATAACCGGAAGTGTTAGAAATCTGAAAATATTTTAGTCGAAGACAACACAATTGATAACACTTAAATCTAAATTCTCAAATTTTTATTTTGACCATAACCCCAAAAACGTCTAATAAGCAGTCTCGCTGAGACACCCTGTATTTAAAAAAATCGCTAAAAATCGGATTCTTAAGATATCAAGATGACAACTGGGATATTAATAAAGGAAAGTGAGTGCTTTGTAAGGAATAAAACACCATTTGTAAATCTCTATCCGTTTTTGAGATAACAATGTTTGAAGTTAATCCAATTTTTAATATTTTAAAAAAATCACTATAAATGGAATTCTTAAGATAACAAGATGAAACCTTGGATATTAATAAGGGGAAGTGCGTATTTTGTAAGGAATAAAACCCCATTTGAAAATCTCAATCCGTTTTTGAGATAACAGTTTTTGAAGTCAACCTAAATTTTTGGTTACGATTTTTAACAACATTTAAAAAAATCGCTAAAAACTGGATTCTTAAGATATAACAATGAAACTTGAGATACTAATAAGAGGAGGTGCGTGCTTTGTAAGGAATAAAACCCTAATTAAATATCTCAATCCATTTTTGAGATAACAATGTTTGAAGTTAACCCAATTTTTTAAAACGACTATTTTTAATAACATCTTTAAAAAATCGCTAAAAATCGAATTCTTAAGATATCCAGATGCAACCTTGGATATTAATAAGGAGAGGTGGGCGCTTTGTATGGAATAAAACCCCACTTGAATATCTCAATCCGTTTTTGAGATAACAATTCTTGAAGTCAACCGAAAATTTTTTAAAACGACGATTTTTAATAATTGTTAAAAAATCGGATTTTTAAGATATTGAGATAAAATTTTGGGTATAAATGAAGGGAGGTGCGTGCTTTGTAAGGAATAAAACCCCACTTGAATATCTCAATTCGTTTTTGAGATAACAATTTTTGAAGTCAACCCAATTTTTTAAAACGACGATTTTTAATAACATTTTTAAAAAATCGCTAAAAATTGGATTCTTAAGATATAACAATGAAACTTGAGATACTAATAAGAGGAGGTGCGTGCTTTGTAAGGAATAAAATCCTACTTGAATATCTCAATCCGTTTTTGAGATAACAATTTTTGAAGTCAACCTAAATTTTTTATTACGATTTTTAATAACATTTTTAAAAAATCGCTAAAAATCGGATTCTTAAGATATCAAGATGAAATGTTGGATATTAATAAAGGGAAGTGTGTGCTTTGTAAGGAATAAAACCCCAATTGAATATCTCAATCCGTTTTTGAGATAACAATTTTTGAAGTCAACCAAAATTTTTTAAAACGACGATTTTTAATAACATTTAAAAAATTCGCTAAAAATTGGATTCTTAAGATATAACAATGAAACTTGAGATACTAATAAGAGGAGGTGCGTGCTATGTAAGGAATAAAACAACACTTGAATATCTCAATCCGTTTTTGAGATAAAAATTTTTGAAATCAACCCAATTTTTTAAAATGACGATTTTTAATAATATAATTAAAAAATCGCTAAAAATTGAATTCTTAAGATATCAAGATGAAACCGCGGATATTAATAAAGGAAGGTGAGTGCTTTGCAAGGAATAAAACCCCACTAGAATATCTCAATCCATTTTTGAGATAATAATTTTTGAAGTCAACCCCATTTTTAAAATGACGATTTTGAATAATATATTTAAAAAATCGCTAAAAATCGGATTCTTAAGATATGACAATGAAATTTGAGATACTAATAAGAGGAGGTGCGTGCTTTGTAAGGAATAAAACCCCACTAGAATATCTCAATCCATTTTTGAAATAATAATTTTTGAAGTCAACCTAAATTTTTTATTACGATTTTTAATAACATTTTTTAAAAATCGCTAAAGATTGGATTCTTAAGATATAACAATGAAACTTGAGATACTAATAAAAGGATGTGCGTGCTTTGTAAGGAATAAAACAACACTTGAATATCTCAATCCGTTTTTGAAATAAAAATTTTTGAAATCAACCAATTTTTTAAAATGACGATTTTTAATAAAATATTTAAAAAATCGTTAAAAATCGCATTCTTAAGATATCAAGATGAAACCACGGATATTAATAAAGGAAAGTGAGTGCTTTGTAAGGAATAAAACCCCACTAGAATATCTCAATCCATTTTTGAGATAATAATTTTTGAAGTTAACCTAAATTTTTTATTACGATTTTTAATAACATTTTTAAAAAATCGCTAAAAATCGGATTCTTAAGATATCAAGATGAAACGTTGGATATTAATAAAGGGAAGTGCGTGCTTTGTAAGGAATAAAACCCCACTTGAATATCTCAATCCGTTTTTGAGATAAAAATTTTTGAAATCAACCCCACTTTTTAGAATGACGATTTTTAGTAATATATTTAAAAAATCACTAAAAATCGGATTCTTAAGATATCAAGATGAAACGTTGGATATTAATAAAGGGAAGTGCGTACTTTGTAAGGAATAAAACCCCACTTGAATATCTCAATCCGTTTTTGAGATAACAATTCTTGAAGTCAACCCAATATTTTAAACGACGATTTTTAATAACATTTTTAAAAAATCGCTAAAAATCGAATTCTTAAGATATAACAATGAAACTTGAAATAGTAATAAGAGGAGGTTGCGTGCTTTGTAAGGAATAAAACCCCACTTGAATATCTCAATCCATTTTTGAGATAATAATGTTTGAAGTTGACCCAATCTTTTAAAATGACGATTTCTAATAACATTTTTAAAAAATCGCTAAAAATCGGATTCTTAAGATATCAAGATGAAACCATGGATATTAATAAGGGGAGGTGCGTGCTTTGTAAGGAATAAAACAACACTTGAATATCTCAATTGGTTTTTGAAATCAACCCAATTTTATTAAAATGATGATTTTTAATAATATATTTAAAAAATCGCTAAAAATTGGATTCTTAAGATATTGAGATGCAACCTTGGATATTAATAAAGGAAAGTGCGTGCTTTCTAAGGAATAAAATCCCACTTGAATATCTCAATCCATTTTTGAGATAATAATTTTTGAAGTCAACCCAATTTTTTAAATTAACGACTTATAATATTTTTAAAAAATCGCTAAAAATCGAATTCTTAAGATATCCCAATAAAACTTTGGATATTAATAAAGGGAAGTGCGTGCTTTGTAAGGAATAAAACCCCATTTGAATATCTCAATCCGTTTTTGAGATAATAATTTTTTAAAACGACGATTTTTAATAACATTTTTAAAAAATCACTAAAAATTGGATTCTTAAGATATAAGAATGAAACTTGAGTTACTAATAAGAGGAGGTGCGTGCTTTATAAGGAATAAAACCCCACTTTAATATCTCAATCTGTTTTTGAGATAATAATTTTTGAAGTCAACCTAATTTTTTAAAACGACGATTTTTAATAATATATTTAAAAAATCGTTAAAAATCGGATTCTTAAGATATCAAGATGAAACCGCGGATATTAATAAAGGAAGGTGAGTGCTTTATAAGGAATAAAACTCCACTAGAATATCTCAATTCATTTTTGAGATAATAATTTTTGAAGTCAACCTAAATTTTTTATTGCGATTTTTAATAACATTTTTAAAAAATCGCTAAAAATCGGATTCTTAAGATATCAAGATGAAACCATGGATATTAATAAGGGGAGGTGCGTGCTTTGTAAGGAACAAAACAACAGTTGAATATCTCAATTCGTTTTTGAAATAACAATTTTTGAAATCAACCCAATTTTTTAAAATGACGATTTTTAATTATATATTTAAAAAAATCGCTAAAAATTGGATTCTTAAGATATAACAATGAAACTTGAGATACTAATAAGAGGAGGTGCGTGCTTTGTAAGGAATAAAACCCCACTAGAATATCTCAATCCGTTTTTGAGATAATAATTTTTGAAATCAACTTAAAATAATATTTTTAAAAAATCTTCGGATTCTTACGATATCTTAATGAAGATATTAATAACGAAAATTGAGTACTTTATAAGAAATAAAGCCCCACCAAAAAATCTCTCTTCGTTTTTGAGATAATATCTTTTAGAATTACTATTAAAGAATACTTAGAAGATTTTCGATCAAAACCAGCCCTCAGAAAGTGAAATGAAATCAGTTTGTCTCACCTATTATTAAAAGAAGTTCGACCCCTTTCAACACTTTCACCCCTTTCAAAAGACGCTTGATGGCTGGCCGGGGCGCTGTGAGATATCGTTAAAGAAGTGTAATCCTTCGGTTGCGGTAAGGGAATGGTGGTAGTGGTATGACCAGCAGCGGCGACTCCGACAGCACCTTGCGGTGCTTCCGTTTTCGACACCCAAGTCTGGTCCAAAATGGGTGTCGGGGAATTCGACGTCAACGGACTGAAACAATTTTTCTCTTCAATCGAGACTAACACCAAAAGATTTCTACTTTATTTCTACTTTTCCAACTTTACAGAATCATTGTGATTAATTAATCAATAAGAACTCACCATTGTTCAAGTGTATCAGCTTCTTCTTCGGCAGCTGTGACGTCGCTGGGCGGTGTTAAGTATCCGGTTAATCTAAATCCGCGTCTACTCGTTCCGAATCTTAGGCTTTGTCTAAAAGAAGCCCTTGCTCTATCGACTAATAAATTTTTTTTGGTTTTATTTAAATAATTATGTATTAATATTAATTAGTTACATTTACTAAGTCGTGCTTTTCCTACTGGGCTATTTTCCAATGAGGCAGATGGCGCAGTTGTAAGATCCTCGAAGTTGATAATAATCAAGCTTATGTCATCCACTTCGCTTCTGATTGGGGCTATCACCTCCGAGCAGAGGAACTTGGATCCTAAAACATAAAAAAAAATCAAAATTAGGTTAAATATTGACCCTTATTGCTACGCACGCCATCTGGCGGAACTTCAAACATCTTATCAGTTCGTTGTCTTATATCTAGGGGAGAATTCGACCCATTTTTTTCTTGGTAAAAGAATTTTGCGTGTATTTTATCAACACGAAATATCTGGTGGTAATTATACCAAGTATTATTGTAAATGTGACATACGAAATAATAATACTAAATAAAGTAATCAAAAATTTCAAAGCTAATAAAGATGTTATCGTGAAATAGAAATTAGAGGAAAAAGTTTTTTGAGTAATAAAGTATAATTTTTGTTGCCAGAAACACATTAAGAATTTCTTTGTGCAAATTGTTCGGTCAAGTTCGCGCGATGTAACGTAGATTGATCGTCGAATTGGACCACGACTTCTCGAAGTAAATTGAGCGCCTGCGAAAAATGTCCGCATTGCAGATACGTCGTAAGGCAATTAACTGTTAGTCATTCTGTAGAAAGTAAAATTCGCGTTTTAAATTTTTCGATTAATGAGATCTCAGCCTTTGGCATTTCGGCCCGGGGAAAAATGTTGGCAACAATTTATAGGATTAGACATTTTTTTTGGCTTGTAATTCTCGGTTACACCATAAGTTTTTGGCACAATAGACCAAAACGAATAAATCTACACCTTTTACATCCTTCTTTTTTTATTACTTCCGATCGTGTCATAAAAAAAAATCGAAGTAATCTATTTCTAGAAGAGGAATAATAATCGACGTCGAACGATCGTGACTATAAACCATGATTTGGAAACAACACAAAATAGATTCAAAATCACTTTTTTTTATTTATTTATTTTTATGTGTTAAAGAAAAAGGAAATTGGGAAATTGCATTTTTCGTTTCAAAATCGATTAAAACAACAAAGTCTCGTAAATCGATTATGGCGCCCCCTTTTTGTTTTTCCATGCACGTAGATCGTTTATCACCTTTTTATAAGTCCGTCCCGTGCTCGGTACTCCGTTATCTCTTCATCTAGCCACTCCAACCCAACCCCCACCATCTTGTTTGTTTCAAACGTTGTTGGAAAATGTAAATTGCAGTTGACAATTTGTAAGAAACATTTGCATTTTGAAGTTTCCGCAAACCGCATTTCCCCCATTATCACACACTAACAAAGACATCTTATTGAAATAAAAAAGGAATAAACATTGTCTCTTTTAAAATGATCAAAATGATAATTATGAGTTAATACTGTCTTATCTAAATAGTCGTATATTACTACTTACTACTCATACAGTTCTGCAATATACTAACTCTTTTATGTTTTACCTCCAACGCTGCCGATTAGATACAAATTCTGACACTCATGAGTCGTTGTACATCCTCCCATCGACCACCATTTTGTATAAATGAAAAAGTAGATCATTACTTTGCATCTTTTAATGCAAAGCGCAGAAATAAAGCTCGAACTGCGTGCTCTAGATACTCTTGGTCTCTTTCTGGACACATTTCCGACTGCACGATAAGCACGATAAGATGGATCCTGGGGTAGGAACAAATAAATTACCCTATACACCAACGTTTTCTGCTAAAAACAGCACCAGGCTGCAACTAGCTCCTATCAATGGAGTCTCAATGTCGAACTCTGTGCAAGAATCACAATAGGAAAAAGAATGAACAGATCATACACGAGCAAGGTTATTCGGCCCATGGAAGGTTAAGCAGAACTCAAGGAGATACTGACAAATGATTGAACTAAGAAACAAACACTTGATGTACTCGTGACAAGGTTGTATTTGTTAACTGATCACCTCACGTTACAACATATGCTGAGAAACATACTGGGTGATTCAAAAAACCGCTGACAGACTTCTAGGGCAAGTAATACATCAAAAATTAAGATGAAAAGTCTTAATATACATGGAGTCGTAAATGCCTCCTTAACGAGATATGTTAATTATATTATATGTATATTATATTATATACAGGGTGTTTCGGTGACTCGGAGAACAAATTTAACCACATATACTAGAGTAAAAATGATGACGATTCATGTAAAAAAGATTAGTAAAAGTCTTCAAATTTCAAAGATACAGGCCATCAAAGTTAAGAAATTTTAACACATTTTTCCAAATATCTTAAACACTATTTACAGTAAAGCGCTGAAATTTGGTACAGTATAAATCAATGTCGTGTAAAATTGTTAGGCAATTTATGAGTTGGATCGGTCCGCGGGAACAATGCTTACCGGCTGTTCCTAAAGTTTGTTTGCTCAGAACTTTTTTATTCTTTCATAACCCTACATTTATTTTTGCAGTTTCTAATAGTAAATTTAGTTTAGAAACTTTTATTACTCTTAGATAATATTCATAAAAATCACCGTTTTCGTGTTAAATCCAAAAATGTTGGGTTCCGATTTCAATAGTGCTATTACTAAAAAAAAGAAATCTAAGTTTTTGAACATCCTTTAGTATTTTTTATTACTTGTCTTGTTATTTTATGTACTTTTTTTATTATTCCTGTTAGTGTTGATTTTTAATTTATTGTTTTTGAGTTCTTTTATTAAACCAACTAAAACAAATTAAAAATGTGATTTAGCTAAATCTACACTTGGACATGTTGCATACATAATAGTTATGACAGCTCAGTTCGATTTTCACTTGTCATTGCTAATTCAAATTATTTATTTATTTATTTTTTTTAGTGTTATTGAATTCGGAGCCTAACATTTTTGCATTTAATACGGAAACGGTGGTTTTTATCAATATTCTCTAAGAGTGATAAAAGTTTCTAAACTAAATTTACTATTAGAAAATGCAAAAATAAATGTAGGGTAATGATAGGATAAAAAAGTTCTGAGCAAACAAACTTTATGAACAGCCTGTATAGCATTGTTCCCGCGTACCGATCCAACTCAAAAATTGCCTAATGATTTTACGTGATGTTAGTTTACGCTGTACCAAATTTCAACGCTTTACCATAAATAGTGTTTAAGATATTTACAAAAATGTGTTAAAATTTCATAACTTTGATGACCTGTATCTTTGCAATTTGAGGTCTTTTACTATTTTTTTTTTACATGAATCGTCATCATTTTCACTCTAGTATATGTGGTTACATTTGTTCCCCGAGTCACCGAAACACCCTGTATAACGAAAGAAACTTTGATCTGCTATATCTCGCCAACGAGGCATTTGCGACCCCATGTATATTAAGACTATTCATCTTAATTTTTCATGTATTATCTACTCTAGAAGTCTGTCAGCGGTTTTTTGAATCACCTGTATAGTCCAATCTAACTGATAATGTGCAGATAAAAGTAACATTCTGGACTTAAAATACAAGAATAAATACGTTTAGTGCTATAACCTCTGTTCTTTTAATTGCATTCTAGATAAGTCTCAGAAATGAACAAGATCTACCATTCGTTGCATGATTTTGATTAATTCCTCAATTTCGCATTTTCGAAATCACTTCTTGTATATCTTGATAAAGATACAAAGTTTATTACAAGAACAGATTTACCTTCAAACCGCCGAGGTTGCTTGTAAGCGAGATACAAAAACTTCCAAAACTGACGATTTTATGATAATACAGGGTGTCCTGTATCTTCCGCATCATACATTCTTCTGAAGCGATGTTTCTAATATTTTTTTTTTTCGAAATGTTTATAATAACCGCACGGAAATCACAAACAAAATCATGGAAAAAGTTTATTTCTCTTTCCGTGTCGAATCTATTGGTGAGTACACGTGCGAAACTAGTTTAATAACAGTTCGTTTAAACTGTTAAAAAGAAAAATTTTATTGGAAAGATCGCTTGAGAATAATGTATCCTGCAACCAAATAATGCTCTGGTGCAGAAAATACGGGACACCCGGTATATCAAACCCAGCGCCTCGCCCGCAAGCGACCTCGGATATTTGAAGCGAAATCGCTTTTTGTATATTTTGATAAAGATACAAAGTCTATTATAAAAAGACATTCAACCTCAAACCGCCGAACATTATATTCATATATCCGACGACTTCTTCCTGAAGATGAGGACTAGCTCCTCGAAACATGTAGAAAGATAAATAAAGAATAACATCGTTAAAGTATAAATAATTCGACCTTCATTTCCAATATAGGCACGATGTTAAGGTTTGTTGATATATAAAATGTAACGCCTCGCCCGCCATCGACCTCGGCGATTTGAAGCGAAATCGTTCTTTGTATATCTTGATAAAGATACAAAGTCTACTACAAGAAGACATTTACTCTCAAATCGCTGAGGTCGCTAGCGGGCGAGGCACTAAATCTTGCAAAACTGACTATTTTGTATTGATATATCAAATGTAGCGCCTCGCCCGCAAGCGACCTCGGCGATTTGAAGCGAAATCGTTTCTTAAGTATCTTGATAAAGACACAAAGAGGTAATATTATGACCTATGCCTTACAATATCTTACTCATATCCACATCCACAACATACTGCTTGCAAAACACTAGATATTGCTTGTAAAGGACCATATATTGCTTCCAGAAAACTAGATACTGCTTCTAGAAGACTATACTGCTTGCAGAAGATAAGATACTGCTTATAGAAAACTAGATACTGCTTCCAAAAGACTATACTGCTTCCAGAAAACTATATACTGGTTGTAAAACACTAGATATTGCTTCCAAAAGAATATCTACTGCTTGCAAAAAACTAGATATTGCTTCTAAAAGAGTATATATTGCTTCCAGAAAATTCTAAACTGCTTCTAGAAGACTCTTCCACAACTGACGATTGAATTGATATATCAGATACAAAGTCTATTACAACAAGACATTTATCTTCAAAGCGCCGAAGTCGCATGCGGGCGAGGCACTAAATCTTCCAAAACTAACGATTTTGTATTGATATATCAAATGTAGCGTCTTGCCCGTAAGCGACCTCAGCGATTTAAGGCGAAATCTTTTCTTGTATATCTTAATAAAGATACAATGTCTATCATAAGAAGACATTTATCTTCAAACCGCCGAGGTCGCTTGCGGACGAGGCGCAAAATCTTCTAAAACTGACGATTTTGTATTAATATATGAAAATCCAGCGCCTCGCCCGCAAGCGACCTCGGCAATTTGAGGCAAAATGGTTCCTTAAATATCTTGGTGAAGATACAAAGCAGTCATATTATAACCTATGTTTTACAATATTTTATATCCACAACATGCTCCTTGCAAAAGACTAGATATTATTTGTAGAGAACTACTATATATTGCTTCCAGAAAACTAGATACTGCTTCCAGAAGACTATATACTGCTTGCAGAAGATTAGATAATGCTTGTAAAAGACTAGATACTGCTTCCAAAAGACTATAGTGCTTCCAGAGGATTATATACTGATTGTAAAATACTAGATATTGCTTCCAGAAGACCATACTGCTTCTAGAGGACTGTATACTGGTTGTAAAACACTAAATACTGCTTCCAGAAAACTATATACTGCTTGCACAAAATTAGATATTGCTTCTAAAAGACTATATACTCCTTCCAAAAGATTGGATGCTGCTTCCAGAAGACTAAATCTTCCACAAGTGACGATTGAATTGATATATCAGGTACAAAGTCTATTACAACAAGACATTTATCATCAAAGCGCCGAAGTCGCATACAGGCGAAGCGCAAAATCTTCCAAAACTGACGATTTTGTATTAATATATGAAAATCCAGCGCCTCGCCCGCAAGCGACCTCGGCGATTTGAGGCAAAATGGTTCCTTAAATATCTTGGTGAAGATACAAAGTAGTCATATTATAACCTATGTCTTACAATATCTTATATCCACAACATGGTGCTTGCAAAAGACTAGATATTACTTGTAGAGAACTACTATATATTGCTTCCAGAAAACCAGATACTGCTTCCAGAAGACTATATACTGCTCCAGGAGACTATACTGCTTGCAGAAGATTAGATAATGCTTGTAAAAGACTAGATACTGCTTCCAAAAGACTATACTGCTTCCAGAGGATTATATACTTATTGTAAAACACTAGATATTGCTTCCAAAAGACTATATACTGCTTGCAAAAAATTAGATATTGCTTCTAAAAGATTATATAATGCTTCCAAAAGGTTGGATACTGCTTCCAGAAAACTAAATCTTCCACAACTGACGATTGAATTGATATATCAGATACCCAGCGCCTCGCCCGCAAGCGACCTCGGCGATTTGAGGCAAAATCGTTCCTTAAATATCTTGGTGAAGACACAAAGTGGTCATATAATAACCTAATTTCTTATACCCTCTTCTTCAGTCTTATATCCACATCCACAGGAAATGATATCCTGCATATGATGGCAATTTTAATAGCCACCAAAATATCAACAGAATCATACAAACAGTGAAAAGCTACATAAAATTAATATTCAACGCTAAATAGAAGGGATCATTCCGTTCAGCTCAAAGATGCAACCTCAACGCCTTCCTCAAAAAGCCAACTTAAATCTAACCTTGTCCAATTGGGTTGAAAGCGAAAGAAAATATCGGGAGTACCTTGAGCATGATAATATCACTAAGGATGGTGTTGAAAGAAGCGAGGCCAGAATCACAAAACTGTAACCATTTAAAGTTGCATAGGATTAACTTCCTCTACTATTGAGCTAAAAACAATCAGCACAAAATGCCATCAGCATTAAAACATGTCAGATTGAACATAAATGATACGGTCCTCACCTTTCTTTGGAATAACACCAAACATTGATATGTCTTGGCAATATCTTTAGCTTCAAGATATATGCAAAAATTTTTAATATTAATGTATCATAACAGTATTTTTTTCATGAAGTAGAAAAGGAAAATGAAATATTCCTACCACCAGGTAAGAACTATAAATATAAGCTTAAAACCGACCTACATACATCAGTGGTGAAAATACAGCCGCGGCATTATAATAGTGTGTACACGACTACTAATACTATACCAACTGGTGCGCGTTCTCTCATCCCGAAAATAGATCGGGAGATCACGGACCAGCTGTTTCAGGATGCAGCGGCCGATGACGTCACGGTGCGCGCGTCTCATTACGTCACTCCGTGGAAAATACGGAAACGATCTTCGGATAGAAAGAAATAAATAGAGAGGAAAAAGCGGTGGGGGGAGTGGGAAATGTGCGAGTGAGATAAAAAACTCACCGTCCTTCCGGTAATAGAGGAGTTCGGCGTGCTTTTCGGCGCCGTCCGAGAGGGCGTCTCGCAAAGCTCCGACCGATTGTTGCGAGGTCAGGGGGCCGCAGAGGAACTCGCACGAAGCTGGCCTCTGCATCACTTCCGCCCGGGAGAAGCCGGTCAGCCGGCAAAAACCGTCCGAACAGTAGATTATGTGGCATTGTCCCTCTCTGCTATTCGCCACCAAGAAGGAACGATCTGTAATCAAGATAAATTTATAAATTTATACTCACCAAATTTTAAAATGAAATAATTCGACGCCCTTAAAGGCGCGCTTAATTATCGGAAAAGCAATTTCACGCCTTCGTCCGCCTTAGTACTTTAGTATATCTATATATAGGTGTACATATAGTAATACGCGGCCGCGGCGTGGCGAGAGTCATTAGGGGTCATTTTCCATCGATCGGGTTGCGACGTAGACTCCGACGCCGATTTTCCACGATTTCCACGATCATTTCCCCCCACTCTCTATCTCCCCCCCGTTCTGTTCCGCCACGCTTTATACCCTTCATTTCCCTCCGTCCGTGACGTCACGAATCTACCGTGACGTTTCGTTTCGGAATGGTTCCTAGCCAAAAGGTGACACGTGACGTCGTCAAAAGGTTATTTTGAGGGTAAAATTACAGAAACAGATAAAGGAAATAAAAGGAAATCGTTTCTTCAACTTACAATAAAATTTTTTATATACTAAACTTAATTATGTTAATAAAAAGTTGTTAAATAGGTTTTTAAAATCTAAATCCAATGTTAATTAAGTGTTACTTTGTGTTTGCAACTCTTTTGGAAAGGACTAGATACTGCTGGCAGAACTCTAGATAATGCGAAAAAGACTAGGTGTTGCTTGTAGTGAATTAAATACTGTTGGCAGAAAATTTGATACTGTTTCCAGAAGACTATATATTGCTTGCAGAAGACTAGATGTTGCTAGCAGAAACTAAATATTCCTAAAAGAAGACCAAATACTGCTTGTTGAAGACTATATATTGCTTCCAGAAGACTGAATACTGCTTCCAGAAGATTAGATACTGCTTCCAGAAGACTATAAACTGCTTGCAGAAGACTTGATATTGCTAGCAGAAACTAAATATTCCTAAAAGAAGACCAAATACTGCCTGTAGAAAACTAGATACTGTTCTCAGAAAACTAAATTGCTTGCAAAAACCAGATATTGTTTCTAGAAGACTATATACTACTTCCAAAGGACTGGATACTGCTTCCAGAAGACTAAATCTTCATCAATACTAGTATAGGAAATCGTTTATCCTCACTCCGCCGAGGTCGCTTGCGGGCGAGGCGCTGGAATACTTGAAAACTAACGATTTTGTATTAAAATATGAAACTCAGCGCCTCGCCCACAAGCGACCTCGGCGATTTGAGTCGAAATCGTTCCTTATATATCTTGGTAAAGATACAAAGTCTACTATACGAGGACATTTATCCTCAAAACACCAAGGTCGCATACTATACTGCTTGTAAAATACTAGATATTGCTTGTAGAGGACTATATACTGCTTCCAGAAAACTAGATACTGCTTCCAGAAAACTATATACTGCTCCAGAAGACTATACTGCTTACAGAAGATTAGATACTGCTTGTAGAAAACTAGATACTGCTTCCAAAAGACTATACTGCTTCCAGAAGACTATATACTGGTTGTAAAACACTAGATGTTGCTTCCAGAACACTATAAACTGCTTGTAAAAGACTAAATATTGCTAGTAGAAACTAAATATTTCTGTAATAAGACCAGATACTGCTTGTAGAAGACTAGATGCTGCTTGTAGAAGAATGGATACTACTTCCAGAAGACTATATTGCTTACAAAAAACTAGATATTGCTTCTAGAAAACTGTATACTACTTCCAGAAAACTAGATACCGATTCCAGAAGACTAAATCTTTCAAAACTGACGTTTTTCTATTGATATATCAAATACAGTTGATCGTATTAGTTGCTATCATTTATTTGATATATTGGAAAGTGAACAAAACGTACAACACTAGCATAGGAAATCGTTTATCCTCACTCCGCCGAGGTCGCTTGCGGGCGAGGCGCTGGAATACTTGAAAACTAACGATTTTGTATTAATATATGAAACCCAGCGCCTCGCCCGCAAGCGACCTCGGCGATTTGAAGGGAAATCGTTCCTTGTATATCTTGGTAAGGATACAAAGTCTACTATATAAGGACTTTATACTCAAAACGCCATGGTCACATACTATACTGCTTGCAAAAGACTAGATATTGCTTGTAGAGGACTATATACTGCTTCCAGAAGACTATATACTGCTCCAGAAGACTATACTGCTTGCAAAAGGTTAGATACTGCTGGTAGAAGACTAGATACTGCTTCCAAATGACTATACTGCTTCCAGAAGACTATATATTGGTTGTAAAACACTAGATATTGCTCCCAGAAGACTATAAACTGCTTGTAGAAGACTAGATATTACTAGCAGAAACTAAATATTCCTAGAAGAAGACCAGATACTGCTTGTAGAAGACTATATACTGCTTCCCGAAGACTATATTGCTGGCAAAAAACTAGATATTGTTTCTAGAAGATTATATACTGCTTTCAGAAGACTGGATACTGCTTCTAGAAGACTAAATCTTCCAAAACTGACGATTTTGTATTGATATATCAAATACAGCGCCTCGTCCGCAAACGACCTCGGCGATGTTAGTTGATATCATTTATTTGATATCTTGGAAAGTGAACAAAACGTACAACATTTGCATAGGAAATCGTTTATCTTCACTTCGCCGAGGTCGCTTGCGGGCGAGGCGGCGCTGGAATACTTGAAAACTAACGATTTTATTATTACGATTTGTATTAATATATGAAACACAGCGCCTCGCCCGCAAGCGACCTCGGCGATTTGAATCGAAATCGTTCCTTGTATATCTTGGTAAGGATACAAAGTCTACTATATGAGGACATATATCCTCAAAACGCCAAGATCGCATACTGTACTGCTTGTAAAATACTAGATATTGCTTGTAGAGGACTATATACTGTTTCCAGAAGACTATATACTGCTCCAGAAGACTATATTGCTTGCAAAAGATTAGATACTGCTGGTAGAAGACTAGATACTGCTTCCAGAAGACTATATACTGGTTGTAAAAGACTAGATATTGCTTGTAGAGGACTATATACTGCTTCCAGAAGACTAGATACTACTTCCAAAAGACTATACTGCTTCCAGAAGACTATATACTAGTTACAAAACACTAGATATTGCTTCCAGAAGACTATAAACTGCTTGCAGAAGACTAGATATTGCTAGCAGAAACTAAATATTCCTAAAAGAAGACCAAATATAGGTTTTAGAAGACTAAATACAGCTAGCGATAGCAAAATACTGCTCCAGAAAACTAGATACTGCTTCCAGAAGAGTGTATACTCTTTCCAAAAGACTATATAGTTCTGGCTGAACACTAGATAGCGCTGGCAAAAGACTATGTACAGGGTGGTTCGAATTCGATGTCTGAATAGGCTATCTCGGAAACTATAAGAGTTAGAAAAAAAAGTAGCTTACATATCATGATCTCGTTTTTCCAGAAATTGCTAATGCCAAAAACCTCAAAGTGCTATCGTCTTTTGTTTTTCCCCTAGAGGCTAAAATTGAAAATATCGTAAAACCAACAAGTGCAATTATCTTGGTTATTTTTATAGGTGGAGTATTATAAGTAAGACATTATATGGGCATTTTTTTACAGAGAATTTGATGACGTAGTCAAAAAAAATTTTTCGGTTTTAGATTTTGAGATATTATGACAATTTTCGTTTTTTTAAATGGAAACAATCACTGATTATTCGCTTATTAAATTCGTTATTTTTTTCTGATTACAAAAATATGGGGTTATATTAGGTCTATTTCTTGTTGTTTTAGAATAAGGCTAAAAATAAACTTTCTTTTAGTGTCATCAAAGAAATTAAATTTACAGTTTCCTATAATTTTCTATGAAAATTTTTCTTTATTTTCTAATATGTAACATTCTAACATGTTAAACTTTTCGTAATTTTTGTAATTCATCTTAAAAAACAGGATTTTTAATTTGACACCAGAAAATTTTTGGATACAGAAAATATATGAGCGCCATCTATCAATAATTTATTAAGTCATTTAATAATAATATTAAATGTTAATAAAAAATGTGAAATAATGCAATCTATTCCAACTTTTGTGTAAAACAAATATAAATTAAATAGTTCAACAAATGCATTTGTTTCAAATATCAGNTTAACAAAACGCATACTATACTGCTTGCAAAAGACTAGATATTGCTTGTAGAGGACTATATACTGCTTCCAGAAGACTATATACTGCTCCAGAAGACTATACTGCTTGCAAAAGGTTAGATACTGCTGGTAGAAGACTAGATACTGCTTCCAAATGACTATATTGCTTCCAGAGGACTATATACTGGTTGTAAAACACTAGATATTGCTCCCAGAAGACTATAAACTGCTTGTAGAAGACTAGATATTGCTAGCAGAAACTAAATATTCCTAGAAAAAGACCAGATACTGCTTGTAGAAGACTATATACTACTTCCCGAAGACTATATTGCTTGCAAACAACTATATATTGCTTCTAGAAGACTATATTCTGCTTCCAGAAGACTGAATACTGCTTCTAGAAGACTAAATCTTCCAAAACTGACGATTTTGTATTGATATATCAAATACAGCGCCTCGTCCGCAAGCGACTTCGGCGGAGTTAGTTGATATCATTTATTTGATATCTTAGAAAGTGAACAAAACGTACAACACTAGCATAGGAAATCGTTTATCCTCACTCCGCCGAGGTCGCTTGCGGGCGAGGCGCTGGAATACTTAAAAACTAACGATTTTGTATTAATATATGAAACCCAGCGCCTTGCCTGCAAGCGACCTCGGCGATTTGAGTCAAAATCGTTCCTTGTATATCTTGGTAAGGATACAAAGTCTACTATATGAGGACATATATCCTCAAAACGCCAAGATCGCATACTATACTGCTTGTAAAATACTAGATATTGCTTGTAGAGGACTATATACTGCTTCCAGAAGACTAGATACTGCTTCTAGAAGACTATATACTGCTCCAGAAGGCTATACTGCTTGCAAAAGATTAGATACTGCTTGCAGAAGATTAAATACTGCTTGTAGAGACTACATACTGCTTCCAGAACACTAAATACTGCT